ATTTGTTCTGGGCTTGTTTTACACTCTCCAGTAAAGAGTTAATTTTTTTTCTTGCACCTTTCTTATTATATGTATTGCCATTTATTTTATGAGGCTCAGCTCTGCGTGGATGGAATTTTTTCTCTGCTGCCTCATCTAACTGCTTATCGCTGGCATGGAAAAATACTGATTTTATACATTTATCTTGTGAACAGCCAAGTTCTTTTATTCATCCTGTTGTTTTTGTGTGTGTGAGTGTGTGTGTTTTTGTTAACCAGAGCCTCAAGTTTTTCTAGATTTGCAATATCTCCTGCAATAGAGGAATTACATCTCTTTTTACATTGGCATACTTTCATTTTGAAACAGTTTTGATGGCAGGGGTTGAGACAGGGTCTCACTATGTAGTTGAGACTGACCTGGGAATCACTGTGTAGCCCAGGCTGGCCTCAGACTCACAGCAATCTTCCTTCCTCAGCCTCCTGAGTGCTGGGATTACAGGCGTGCAGCACCACACACCCGGCTCAGTTTTGATTTTATACAAAAATATCGTTCAAGGACAATCCATACACCCAACTGTTAATGTTTTCTTCCACTTGTTCTGTCATTTTCTCAGTGTTGTGGGTATATGTGTGTACATAATTTGCTTCTGCATCTTTGGAGGGTGAATTATGCCCAAATACTCCATGGTGTATTTCCAAAAAATAAAGCTCTTCTCTTTCATATTTTCTTAGCCATAGTAGAGTTATTAATTTCAGAAATTTACACTAATATGTTACTGTACTTACCACCCATATTCCAGTTTATCAGCTGCCCTATAAAGTCTTCTGTAGCATTTTTTCCTCTCCAGTATAGAATCCAGCCTAGAGTCTTGTATTTTGTTTAAGCGTTATGTCTGCTTAGCTTCCTACAGTCTGGAGCATTTGACAGTCTTTCATTGACATTTTCAAAGAATACAGTCTCCTCCCACTGCTACTCTGTTTTTTGTTTGTTTGTTTGTTTTGTTTTTGAGATAGAACATTCTTCATCTGTGTTTATTGGTTAATTTTAAATTTTGTTTTACTGTATAAACTAAGACTTCTAAAACAACACTAACAATGAGACACGGGTATCTCTGTTAATTTTTATCTGAAATGAAAATGGCTTTAGCATTTTAGCCTTTCCAAGGGTATTCACATTGGTTTGATAGTGTTAAAGTAGTTTCGTCTCTGTTTAACATAGTATTGTATAAGAAACAGTAGCTTCTAAATTTTATCAAAGTCTTTCAGTATCTATTCACATAAACACACTAAGGTGTTTTTCATTTAGTTTTTGTTGGCACATTCCCTATTATTCTGAGTTATATTGTCAAATATTGACAAATTCTCTGATGCTGATTGCTCTAGCCTTGCACTCTTGGAATAAACCCTTGCTTATTTTTTTAATACACTTTTTGATTAGACTAATAGTTAAATTAGAGTTTCTGCACTCAAAAATTAGTCCATAATTTTCTTTTTATTATTACATTGGATCTGAGGATTAAGGAGCTTTCCATTTGATAGCTTTATTTTCTTCTAATCTTCATTCATTTCATTTTTCTGTTATTGCTTCTTTAGTCTGTTCTTATTCCTGGTTGGCTGCTCCAGTGCAGTGATGAATAGGATGACAGCAGGTAGTCTTGTTTCACTTCTAATTTTAAAAGGCATGCTTTTTGCCTTGAAAATACTTTATGCTTTGAAAATGATATGTTCTATATGTTTTTTAAATGATGCTCATTTTGGGATTAAGAAATTTCTCTCTGTAAAAAAAGAAAGACATTTCCTTCTTACTCTTGTTTTTATTTTCTTTTTAAAATTTATTTTGTTGTTGTTGTTGTTTTTGAGACATGGTCTCACTATGTAGTAGAGACTGACATGGAACTCACTATGTAGCCCAGGCTGGTCTCAAACTCACAGTGATCCTCCTGCCTCAGCCTCCCAAGTGCTGGGATTATAGGTGTGTGCCACCAAGCCCGGCTTATTCTTGTTTTTAAAGATTTTATTCTATTGTAATCATGAACAATTTTAATGCTTCTTTCAAAAATTTGAGATAATATGAATTTCTAATCCTTTAATATATTAATAAGATGAACAGTATTAATAGACTTTCTAATATTAGAGTAACCTTGCATTCCTGGGAGAGCCCCGAATTTTTTATTTTATATTTATGAATAGGCATTTATCTTCACTTTTATTTTTTAATTTTTTTCCTTTTATTATTTTAGTTTGTAATTTGGCCTTTTTTTATACATTGCTGTATTTGGTTTGCTAATATTTATTTGAGGATTTTGGCATCCATGCTCATGAGTACGATTGTCTACAATTTTCTTGTAATTGTTTTGTTTAGATGCCAAAGTTATACTTGCCTCCTAAAATGAATTAAATACAACACCTTTCCTTCCAGGGTTTTGAAAATTAATTCAGATTGACTCTTTATACCGCTAGTGTAACTCTCTGAGTCTGGAGCACGTATGTGGGAAGGCGTTACACTATTTATTCATGTCTTAAGATTACAGGATCACTCTGGCTTTCTGTTAATTTTATTTGGTTTTGGTTTGAGCTATATTCTTCTAGGATTTTACTCTCTAAATTCTTAAATATGTGACATAAAGTTGTTCATTCTTCCTTTTGTTATCTCTTTAATATTATTAGTATAACTGGTTGTGCTGCTTTTATTCCAACAATTACTTATTCAAGACTTTTCTTTTTTCTTGATCAATTTGCCTATTTGACTAATTTATTAGACTTTTCAAAGAACCAGTTTGGCTTTCTTGGTCTCTGTTATATACGTACTTGTCTTTTGTTTTAATAATTTTGTTCCTTTATTAAACTTTTTGTGGGGTTTTTATGTTATTCTCTTTTTAAATTTTTTAATTTGCATAGTTTTAAGCTTCTTCAACCTTTTTTCTTTTCTGATATATCTTTAAAGTTTTAAACATATCACACATACGTTGATACATATATTCATTTTATAGGGCTGAATGTTTTCTAATTCTGTAAGACCTGCTATACTTAGAATGCTTTTATTCCCCAATGTACGAGGTTTTTCTCTCTTGTATAAATTTCTCACTCACATTGATTATGATCAGAGAACACAGTACTGCTTTATGCATTCTGTAGGTGCTGGTGTGAAGTGATGTTCTTTCCATTGTTTTCTATATAATCTGTCCTTTGGTTTTGATTGCTTCTGCTTTAGTGAAAGGAATAATTTAGAGGAGAACTTTAATCTTCCAGAATATGAGCAGTTTGGGGGGCTGCAGGTTGTCCTTTTTTATTATTGCTTTTTGTTGGATTGAGATTATGTCTCCCTGGGTGTGGTGGCTCCCACCGGTGATCCCAGCACTCTGGGAGGCTGAGGCAAAGGATTGCAAATTTGAACCCAGCAGGGGCAGTTTCATAATTTAGCAAGACCCTCTCTCAAAAGAACAAAACAATAACAAGGCTGGGGATGAAGCCTCTGGGTTCAATCTCCAGTAACCAAAAAATGAATAAATAAAAGGCTTATTCTCTGATGTGAATCAGCCACGTGGAATGCTGTGCGCTCACTCCAGGTACTGGGTTCTGAGCAGAAGGGCAGGGACAGGACTTAGCTCTCTGGGAAAAGAGCACTAAACCCGTGTTGGGGGTGACAGTGTTGTTGACAACACACTCCTTCAGCCCAGCTTCTTCGCCACGCTCACATCCTCCCTAGACACTGGTAAAGGCTGGGACGCTGTGGTCCCCAGAATGTGTGCAGACAGCGGGGCTCACTGCCTACCTGTTGATGTGCCCTGGAGAGATATCCTAGTGGGATTTTATATATTTTTCCTGGTGGGATTTTAAAAATTGAATTATAATTCACATGTCATAAATTCAGCCTCTTTTGGCAATTATGCATAATGCCGCTGCTATCATTCACGGACAGGTGTTTATGTGGATACAGGCTTTTTTCTCTCACGTACATTCCCAGGAGTGAAAATGCTGTGGTCAGATGGCAACTCTCTGTTTAACGTTTCGAGAAACTGCCAGACTGTTTTCTTTTTTTTTACCCCCACTACTGGGAATTGAACTCAGGACCTTGCACTTGCAAGGCAGCTGTGGTGGAGGGAGCTAAATCCCCAGCCCCGCTGGTCTGCTCTCTAAAGCGGCTGCCCCATTTTACATGCCCACCTCCAGCAGTTCCAGTAGTTTCAAATTTCTCCATCCCCTTGATAATATTTATTATCATCTGCCTTGTTTATTATACCGATCTTAGTGGGGTGAAGTGGCATCTCATCATGATTTTGATTTGAATTTCCCTAATCATTAATGATGTCCAGCATCTTACGTACTTACTGGCCATTTGTATATCTTCTTTGGAGAAATGTCTTTTTAAATCTTTTGCACAAATCTTTTTGATTGCCAGGCTGTAAAAATTATTAAATATTCTGTATATTAGCTGTATTTTCTAAATTCCAGAGCCCCTAATCTATTACATGCGAATCAATCCCAGCCCCATGCTTAGGATCTGTCTTTCTCCTAGTGCCTAAGCAGAAAAAAGCATTTTACCAGTGTGTTTCCTATTAGTCCACACAAGCCACGAGACCTAGATGGCCACAGTAGCTGCTCCACTTTGCATGCCAGGCAACATGCTAAAGGATTTACATGTATTTTCTCATATCCTGACCATGACGGTCCTGTGAAGTACACATTATCATCATCTTCATTTTAAAGATAGAAAACGAAGGCTCACTAGTTACTGACTTAAGTGCTTAACAAGTTACTTAAGTCTAAAATATCTCACACCTAAGTGAGAGAGCTTTAATTGTAATCTGGTTTTCCAACTCGAAATTCCAGGCTCCTAACCATCCAGGGATATTTCATTCCAAACTGAATCCAAACATCCACTTCCCAGCTCCTCAAGTTCATTTCCACAAGTGTCTGGGCACAAAAGTGTGGACAGCAACGTGAGACTGGAGCGAAGGAGAACGAGGGAGGTGACATAGCTTTGCCTCTGGTCTCACTGGGACTCTGGGCTGCTCTCCCCAGTTTGCCCAGTATGCTGAGATCGTCAACTTCACCCTGCCCGACGGAACTCAGAGGAGTGGCCAAGTGCTTGAGGTGGCTGGGACCAAGGCTATTGTTCAGGTAAGTGGCATCAGTGAGATGTTGGCCAAGTGAAAAACTTAGTAAGTCCGTAAAGTTTCCCATACTTTCTTACCAATTCTGAAGGTGGTAAATTACCTATTTCCCTGTAAACGCCCTACCCAGAGCTGGGCACAAAGAGTGCCTAGAATGGGAAGCCCTATTCTCTCCAGCAAGCCCCTCATCTTGTCCCATAGGTGTTTGAAGGAACCTCTGGGATCGATTCCCAGAAGACCACCTGTGAGTTCACAGGGGACATTCTACGGACTCCAGTGTCAGAGGACATGTTGGGTAAGGCACAAGCGGTGTGGGGGGTGCTCCTCTGCCTTTCTGTCCTGGCTTCTCCAACCAAACTCTAGCTCACCACCTGGTCATGGACTTGTGTGTCTGTCTTTCCTGTGAGCTTTCTGAGGACAGAGGTTATATCTTGTCTCCTTAGTTCCCAACCCTAGCTCAGGCCCTGATAGAGAGCAAGTGTTCAATAATGAGAAAAGCAGGTTCAGTAAGCTACAAGTACAGTAACTGGGGGTCAGGACGGTGAAGCCCTGTGTGTCCCCACATGGATCTTAGGACCTTCCATACCTGGCCTGATCACCCCCCACCTTTTTCAAGTCCCACAATCTCTCTATTGGAACCACTGTCTAGGGTAAATGTCGCTAGGAGAGTAAAGAACTCTCTGGGGTAGGTGAGGGCTGGACAGGACAGGGGTGTGGGGCAGTGCAGGAATTGGAGGGATGAGAGCTGGTGGTGGTGTGAGAGCAGTAAGGGACTCAGGGGTGGCCCTGAGCATCCACATACACCCCCTGTCCACCCTCAGGTCGGATTTTCAATGGCTCCGGCAAACCTATTGACAAAGGGCCTGTGGTCATGGCAGAGGATTTTCTGGACATCAATGGTGAGTGACCAGAGACCCTGGGTGGCTTTCAGGACCCAGACTCCAATTCCTTCCCATCTTCAGGCAGCATTCTGCCACCCTGTCCTTGGAAGTTGAGCCCAGACACAGACCACCAGCCATTGCTCACCCCAGGGCTGGTCAGAATAAGGGACAAATCAGGTGGGATATGAGGGCAGGAAAGGCCTCCCTGTCCCCAAATATTCCACTAAACCAGGACAGTGCCTCCGCACTCTATGTCCACCCTTTGTAAAATGGTATCATAGCTGTACAGTGTTCTGTGTGCTCCCACAAGGTCCCTGTCCCCATCCTGAGTGCTTCCCTGGGGTGGTTTGCAGCAGTAGACTCAGGCCCTCTTAGGATCTCACCCATTCAAGTGGGCGCTTCCTCCATCCTCCATCTCTAGCCCATCCACTTACTGAGGGAATGACGGAGGCCACTGAAGCCCATGACTTGCTTAAGACCACGAAGCAAGTCGGTGGCAGCACTCAGAACACCCGCCTGATCAGAAAGGCAGTTTGTGAGTCACCCTCAGGTCCTCTGGCACCCTGCCCATAGATACTGAGCATGGTTGCCTTGCTCCAAGCAGGAGCACATCCTGAGCGCCTGCCACCTACTTTCTGTGCACTAGGGCAGTGCTGTCCAAGGTAGCATTGGACCTGCGGTTATTGAAACTTAAACCAGTTCAAATGAGAGACATTTGCATTTCCAAATCACATTTTATGTGCGCAATGACTGCATGTGGCTGGGGCCACACTGGGCAACACATCCTCCCTCATCCCAGGGAGTGGGAACAGTGCTGCTGTACAGTCTGGGCAGGGCTGGGAGGACAGGAAAGGGAGAACCCCTGAGCATGCCTCCATGGTTGCCCCTTCCAGGCCAGCCCATCAACCCTCATGACCGAATCTACCCTGAGGAGATGATTCAGACGGGCATTTCTCCAATCGATGTCATGAACAGCATTGCCCGTGGTCAGAAGATCCCCATCTTCTCAGCAGCTGGGCTCCCCCACAATGAGGTGAGACCTGTGATTCCAGCAAGCACTGCCAAAGGACAGAGACAGCAGAGGCCCCGGCACCTGTGCCCAACACGGGGTGTGGGGTCACCTGTATTCAGACTGGCACTCAGGACTCACAGGCTGTCTTCCATGTCTCCCAGCAGGCCTTCCAGCTGCCTTCAATGAGCAGGGCACACACAGGCTCTTGGGTGGCCCCCAAAGTTGAAGGCCCTACTCAGCAGAGCTTGTTTGTCCTTGTACTCATGTTCCCTGGCCTGCATCTACTCCATCACCATCACCAAGCTCAGATAGTCCGTTCCTTTCCCAGCAGCTGGCATAACAAGATTTCTACCTCCCCTACTATTCCTGAATGTAGCTCACCTCAAAATGGTCCGAATAATCAGAAGGCATAAGTGCCTCTACTCTTGCAAACATGCATGTGTACACACAAACACATCCTGGCTTGGAGACTGTGTCTGGTAGCTCCACACATTGCAAGCTGGGGGCATCTCTGTGCCCATAAAACTGTGAGAGGGACAGGGGTTCTGAAAGGCCTGACTGCCCTAAGCAGAGTTGCCATTTGGAACTACTTGTGACTCTGCCCTTCTCAAGACAGGCACCCTCCGCCTGCACCTCACCAGCCTTGAATAGCCCCGACCAAAGGCCTGGGTAGCAGGACAGATTGGAAGTTTTCTCTGTCCCGCTCCTCAGTGGGGTGGATGCTGGGCTCTGCTCTAACAGCTGCCTCCCAATGCACTCTGCCTCAGATTGCAGCCCAGATCTGCCGTCAGGCTGGGCTGGTGAAGAAATCCAAAGCTGTGCTGGATTATCACGATGACAACTTCGCCATCGTCTTTGCAGCCATGGGGGTAAGAGAGCCACCTGGGCCCATTGGCAAGTTGTAGAATCTGTGAGCCGCAGTTCTGCCTCTCTTGGGCTCTGGCACAGCCAGATGTGATGAGTGAGTCATGGTCCTTCTTCTTGAGAAGCCATTTGAGTCCATGCCAGTCTGCATGACTGAAGCATGAGGATGGGCTCTGTGATGGGGCAACACGTCCCTCAAGGCATCCCCCAGCCACAGAAGCTATACAATAGGCCAAGGGTGGTCTAGAGGAGGAAAGGAAACTTGGGGAAACAACACAGCTTCATGGGATGCCAAAAACCCTCAGCAGGCCCAAAGGAAGGACTGGGAGTGGGCAGGGCAGCAGCTGGCCAAGGGAGGTACAAGGTTGGCACTTGAGCAGAGACTGACCTGAACAAGTCTAAACCTCTCTGGAGGCTCTGATGAGGTCTTCTCAAGTCCCAGGCTCACCTTAGTGACTGCAGTGCCTTTGCCCAAGCAACTGTTAGCCAGTCAATCCACAGGCTTTCCTGAGGTCAGTTGGGAGGGTCCAGGCCCTGCCCGCAGGCTGCAGGGCCCCACCTCCAGCCCTCCCCTCCCTGTGTCCAGGTGAATATGGAGACAGCCAGGTTCTTCAAGTCTGACTTCGAACAGAATGGAACTATGGGGAATGTCTGCCTCTTCCTGAACTTGGCCAACGACCCCACGTGAGCCCTCCCTGATGCCCAGACTGCTGGTGGGGGAAGGCCCTATCTCCCAGCAAGACCAGGGTACCAGGGCTCACAGCATCCCAGAATCACAGCCATAGGCCAGGGCTAAGAGAACAACTGGGAAACTGAGGCCTGAAAAGGGCTAGGAGTGGCCCATGGAGAGATAGTGGGAGCCTGGGCCAGGGAAGTAGCTCAGTGCATGCACCTGCCTCACAAGTGCAAGGTCCTGAGTTCAATCCCTGGTACCAGGAAAAAACAGAAAACAAAAGACAGTGGGAGCCAGACCACAACTGCACCTCCAGTCTGAAGCCCCTCTCCCCTTCCCATGACCTTCATTCAGGCACTGTCTTAAATCAGGGCTCTTCGTCCCTGGGTCACCTCCACAGCATCACCACTAAAGAGATCACTTCCTTAAACCATTCATTTAGAAAAATGTTATCCCAAAAATTTAGAAAATGGGAGTTTAAATCTGGGAAGTCAGATGGATGAGAGACAAAGTTCTAATGAACTATCCTGGGTATTGAGGGTACTCCAAAATCTAAGGAACAGAATTGTGCAGGCAGTTATGGCTTCAGCAAGGGGAAGATCTACAGGCCCAGAGGTGGGGACTGAGACAGCCTGGAGCCAGAGCAGGATGTTCAGAAGAGTCAAAGTGGGAAGGGAAGGAAGCTTCATGTGGGCCACGCACACTAAGTGTGCTCCTCAGAAGTGGGAGCAATAGTGAGCAGAGACAGTTCTGAGGGCAGAGAAAGTGTGTCCAGCTGACTCAAAAAAATGCAGGGTGCCCTGGAGTGAGAGGGAGCAGAAGCAGGTGCTTATGCCTTTACCCGGCCCCCAGTATGATCAGCCAGAGTCCTTCACCTTCAGCCCATGGGGACAAGGCCATAGTCAGCCTCACCAAACACTCCTGACCCTCTCCCACCCAACTTCCCTTCTGGTCTCAGCCTCTGTCTCCTGCCCTCCTCCACTCTGGCAAGACAGGGGGCTGTCAGACTCGTTCCCAGGAACCAGGCCCTGACCTGGGGTCTGAGGAAGGGGCCCATCTCACCCATTTCCCTGCCACAAGCACAAACCAGCTTCCTAGTCCACCTCGCACTCAGCTCTGGGGCTATTGTGGGGCTCAGGCCTGGGTGTCCAGGCTCTGAACACCAGCCATGCCTCTCTTCCAGGATCGAGCGGATCATCACCCCACGCCTGGCACTGACCACTGCCGAGTTCCTCGCCTACCAATGTGAGAAGCACGTGCTGGTCATACTGACAGACATGAGCTCCTATGCAGAGGCCTTGCGGGAGGTGAGCCGGCCGGCAAGGCATGTCAAATTCTTCCCTGCCTTCCCCAAGGCTAGAGTTTCTGGGGGTCTCCTTGAAAACAGAGGGAAGCTGTCCACCCAGGCCTGCCGTGGGATTCAGTCACAACCCAGCTATTCCTCTTCTGTCCCCGACCTCATTCTTCACTCTCCCGAATGTCAGTCTCTCAGCACCTTTCTCACCTCAGTGCCTGTGGGTATTGCAGGTCTCAGCTGCCAGAGAGGAAGTGCCTGGGCGCCGAGGGTTCCCGGGATACATGTACACAGACCTGGCCACCATCTACGAGCGGGCAGGCCGTGTGGAGGGCCGAGGAGGATCCATCACGCAGATCCCCATCCTCACCATGCCCAATGACGGTAGCCTTCCCCGCAGCCCCCAGCCCTGAGAATTCCCATCTCCTTTCCTACCCAGAAACTTAGACTGTGCTGCTTTGCAGAGATGTGCAGTAGTTCTGGTCCTCCATCGGGGTAAACACTACCCTTTCCTTCATCTGCCCCACCCCATTCGTCTTTTTAGGGGACTAGAACCGGGTGGCCCTGAGTGGGTGGAGACCTGGGCCCCATCCACACTGAGACCAGTGCATTTTCCTGCAGATATCACTCACCCCATCCCAGACTTGACAGGCTTCATCACTGAGGGACAGATCTACGTGGACAGACAGCTACATAACAGACAGGTACTACTCCCTCTCTCTGCCATCTGTTCTCACCCCCAAAGACAGAATCACAGGGGTCCACCAGCCCCTGGACCTGAATGAGGAGCAGCCAGCTGAGGCTCACCCTACCCAAGAGACACACGCCTGGGGAGGCTATGTGGTTCCGAGTCTAGGTAGAGCCCAACCCACCTGCTGTGGGAATCTGAGAAAATAACCCCATCTTTTTGAGCCCAGGCAGGATTCCTCCTCCATGAGATGGAAATGACACTACTGCATTGTGGGGATAAAATAAACTGGCATATAAGAAGTATCCAGAAGATAATAGATACTAAATAAATACTAATTCTCTTTCCTTTACAGTTATTTGCTTTGGTGAACAGAAAAGAAGGGGTAACTAATACAGACTGTGAATAATGTCCCAGTGCCAGAAAATGTGTCTGTCTTGTCCACAGGTTAATAGCTAGCCCCATGACTTTTTCTTCTTTTCAGGTTGTTTCTTTGCAACTTCTGTTAAGTTTCAACTGGATTTTTTTTTTTTTTGTCCAAATAGTCAAGCATTTTGAAGGAGTCCCCACTGCCAATAACCTGTCTAGGGCCACGCGTCCAGACACCTGGCCCAGAACTTCTGGGAGATGGGGCTGGCAGCTGCCTTCTCTGTAAGATGAATGAGTACAGCTCTCCTGAGAACCGCAGAGGAGGAGACAGGCAGTGCCGGCAGGAAAGAAAGCTTGGACTCGGTGTCTGCCACTCCTTTCTCCACCCCTAGGTTTACCCCCCTATCAACGTGCTCCCTTCTCTGTCTCGACTGATGAAGTCCGCCATTGGGGAGGGCATGACCAGAAAGGACCACGGAGATGTCTCCAACCAGCTGGTAAGGGAGAGAGGGTCAGGGCTGGTGGCTTATCTAGACTCAGAAGCTGGAGGTTTGAGCCTCAGGCCGGACGACAAGCTTTTCTCCTGGCAAAATTCCTTGCTAAAGAGGAGTCCCCAGCCCAGCCAGGATGGGGGCCAGTGGGCTCGCACGGCGAAGACGATGCCTCTGCTCCATTCGCAGTATGCCTGCTACGCCATCGGGAAGGACGTGCAGGCCATGAAGGCGGTGGTGGGGGAGGAGGCGCTCACCTCCGAGGACCTGCTCTACCTGGAGTTTCTGCAGAAGTTCGAGAAGAACTTCATCAACCAGGGTGAGGCGCGTCGGGGGCACGGAGGCGGTAACCTCTTCCCCCTCTTCCCGCACCACACCCGGAGCCCTAATATTTCTGCTCGGTCCCAGGCCCCTACGAGAACCGCTCGGTGTTCGAGTCTCTGGACCTGGGCTGGAAGCTGCTGCGAATCTTCCCCAAGGAGATGCTGAAGCGCATCCCGCAGAGCGTGCTCGATGAGTTCTACTCCCGCGAGGGGGCGCCGCAGGACTCCGCGTCCTACACTGCGCTCTAGGCCCGCGCGTGCTGTCGCCCCTGCCCTCCGTGCCCACCGTTGCCCACCCCTCCTCTTGCCACCA